GCACAAAAGGAAGAGAAAGATAGAGAGAGAGAGAGAGAGAGAGAGAGTAGTAAATTAAAGGGGGAGAATGAGAATATAGGAGCTGAAATAAAGCAAGGAGCTTTATTGTTGTTTATATATACACACTCATAGAGAGATGTAGAGAGAGAGAGAGAGCTGGCAAATCTCTCTCACTTACAAAGAGAGAGAGAGAGAGAGAGAGAGAGAGAGAGAGAGAACATTAGCAAGTACTAATTTGTTTTCACTATGTTTGTTTTGTTTTATTACTTTTTAGGGTTTCGAGAGAGGGGTAATGTTTTTTTATTTATATATATATATATATATATATTTTTTTTTTGTATTTTCTTATATAGTTCATTTTCTTTAATTGCTTAGCCTTGAAGGCTTTAAGCTTCTTTTTTCTATCTCTGTGTGTATGCAGTATGTGGGTGCCATTTTTGCTGTGATTGCTGCATGGGAAAAAAAGTGGGGATTTTAGTATGCCATAGTGTTTTGTAGGATGGGGAATTTTAGTGTATATTTTTTTTTTTTTAATTAATTATTGATGATTGAGGGCTGGTCAGTGTGGGTTCCAATTGCATTTATTTTACACTAATTTAAATATTGTGGTTTGACACAAGCATTAAGCAAACAATTAATTATGACTTGATTAATATAGTGATTACTTTTTCAATAAAGAGATTTATTATATAAACTTTGTAAAATGAAAACTTTGCAAATGTTCTATTAATTTGGCTTATTTACATGATGAATAATGTTCTATATTGGTAATTTGGTGTATATATATATATATATATATAATCCAGCTTAGTCCACTAATTTAAATTAGTTTGTCGATCACTTCAGCATTTTTACCAATTTTCTGTTGGGTGTGCAAACTTAATACCAATGTTTTAAAAACCGTACCGGTCGTCATGCCGGTGTGGCGACCGGTATGCGGTATTACCGGTACGACCGGTATTACCGTCTATTTTACCGGTTTTAATAAATATTAAATTAATTTGTTATTATTATATAAATAATATACAAAACTAACTTTAATTAATACTAAAATAAATTAACATCTAATAACAATATAAACATATTAAAGTTAAGTGTAGAAATTTCAATTTATATAAATAAAATAATAAAAATCTATTAAAAATATTTTTTTTTAAAAAAAAAATGGCATAAACCGGTATTTTGGCCGGTATTTACTGGTAAAACCGGTATTTTCCGGTACGAAACCGGTATTTTGGCCAAAACGGTATTTTGAGTGTAAATGTACCGGTCGGACTACCGGTATCCGGTATTACCGGTAATACCGGCCGGTACGAACCGGTATTTAAAACATGGCTTAATACCACGTGAGAAAATTAAAGGTTCAAGTCCAATATATAAGTTTCGTAGGCTACTCCCTCTATTGCCAATTGGTTTTAGATTAGAACCTCATTTGGGCTTGTATGTTGGGCTTGATTGAAAACTGAGTTTTGAGTTGTTGATCCTAACAATTGGTATTGATGTGGATGACGTGGCATGTTCCCCGTGGAGCCGGAAGGGCAAGTGGATTCGTATGCCTTGTGTCGAAAGTCATCCTGAAGAAAAGGGTGTGGTAACGCGGCGTGTTCTGTGGGTGATAACGGCGGTACAAGATGGTCGGATCATATACATGAATTTCGTTTAACGGGAGGCCTAATATGGTCGTGTGTTTGAGGGGAGGATTGTTGGGTGTGCAACTTAATCCCACATCGAAAAATTAATAAAAGTTTCAAGTTCAATATATAATCTTAGTGGGCTATTCCCTCTATTGCCAATTGTTTTTAGATTGAACCTCAATTGGGTTTGTATGTTAGGCTTGATTGGGAACTGAGTTTTGAGCTGTTGATCCTAACATTTTCTTTATAGAATTAACAATTTGTTTAAATATGTGTTTAATGATAGGCCTATAGAGCATTATCTTTGGAAGTAAGCAAAATTAATAAAACATTGGTGATTTTTTATATTTTTTTTTCAATTTTATAATTGCATATAAAAGAGGGAAAAAGGTTAGTCTTGGGTGGAAATAAACAGTGTGTCCTGCCAAGAGAGACTTTAATATACATACATTTTTTCCTTTTTTTTTTTTTTATTTATTTATGTAGCCCCACTCTCTTTTATCTGTATAACTAACTTTATTTGCATGGGTACACCATGCTACTTACTGCACCTATCAATATACACCACACCATACAATATATAGGTTTTTGTTGTCTACAGTCGGACTATATTCAAGGTATATAAATATATAATATTCTTTCATATTAAATTATCATACATTAAAGTATAACATAAATAAAATTATCACGTTTTATGGCGTGCAACATATATATTTGTCACCATTAATTAACATACTTTGAAGTGCAACACAAACAAAATTATGACAATTCATATTATTATGCAAACAAAGTTATGACAATTTATATTATAATTATGCAATATTTGTAAGAAAGAGTAATTCACTAGCAGTACACCCTTTGATAGGGACTATATTATATCAACCCGGTCCGGTTTAGTAAAGACTCATAATGTCAGGCCGAGTAAGCCGAAAGACCGACCGGCTACATGCTCGACCAGCTGCATGGTCGAGCCACATGAGGACTACGTGATTG